CTCTGTGGCTCAGGGGACAATGTGGCCACCTGCTGACCGGAGTGAGCCCATGTTGGTGGAGGACACGGCTCAATTCTTCAATAGCAACTCTGCAGGCACAGGTATAACAACTCACCTCTGAAGTTCAACATCACTTATTACTTTGTTCTCTTTACTGCTTTATCTGTGGCTGAAGGGCTCAGGAGTCGGGCTTTGCAACATCCAGCTCAACACCTCCGGGTGTCAGGTAGATCTGAGCATGTAGTAAACAATTCTTCCTTTCTGACACTCTGGTGGTGGATGTTGGATGCCATTCTGAAGAAGTCGGATGAAATCATTGTCTGATGTTGCTTTCAGTGTCGTGTGGCTGCTGCTGGCCTCCTGCCAGAAACCTGAGCTGCTCCTACTGAGTGTCAAACTGAGTCCGGGTCAGAGCTTCAGCTCACTGATGTTTCTCCATGAAGACGGGATGCTGCCGTCTGTGACATATCTGCTCATCTATGGGGTGGCTCAGTCAGTTGACCCATGATAAAACCCAGAGCACAGTTTCTGTTGGTATAGGTCTTATCTGTAATTAAAAGCACAATAACATTTCTGGTTCCCTTTTAAATGTGGGTAAATACAACCTGAGGGGAACATTACCACAAACACAATCCACCGTGTCATTATTTAGTAACAAAAGCTAAAGCTTAAAACTGGTTCCCGTCCTGCTGATGAACTGCTTGTCTTCAGGAGTTTTTGCTGCTGTGCTGTTAACACAACACCATGATGGGAACACAAAGATCATGACCTCAGAGAAGCAGCTGTTTCTGCCCAACAATCTGCTGAACTCTGGAGTCCATCATTCTACAGAAAGTCTGAACAAATGAAATCTCAGACATGTGGACTTCTCTTTTTGATTCTTGAAGATGTTTCTCCTCGGCTGAGGATCGTTCTCAGGTTGAGCTGCTCAGATTAGAGCTCCATTTTACATAATCTTCATTAGTCGTGCTGCTGTTGTTCGGCATATTGTTTCTGTACTTTTAGTGCTTGGCATATTTCTTAGTTCATATCTTGGATCTTATTACTGGTTTTCTTTACAATTTATACTTTTGTTGGATGTAACTGGGACCTTGTGTACACAATTTCGTTCCACCACATGTGCTGTGAATGACCATAAAGAAACCTTGACCCAGGATGAACAGGTCCTGGATGAGAATCCACACCAACTGTTCAGTAAGTAATGATTGTAAAATGGAGTGTTTAGGTTGTTTGCCTTGTTTCATCTGACTCGTAAATTATTTTAAATGTGAGCTTGTTTTATTGTTAATGTTAAATGGGTGATGTTTCATGGTGGTTTGGGGCCAGCTAAATTCTCCTCAAAATTAATTTCTCTGACAATTATTTAAAAAACATTTCAGGCAGCTGTGTCTGAGTGGTTAGAGCAGTCGTCCTCCAATGCAAGAGTTGGGGGTTCGATTCCACCAGCAGTCACATGCCAAAGTGTCCCTGGGCAAGACACTGAACCCATCGCCTCCGATGTGTGTCCCATCGGTGTATGAACGTGATAAAGCTCTGATTATTCTTTTTACAGATCTAGAAGGGTCCTTGAGAACGAGTAAATGAGGCGCAGGTTGTTGTAAAGAGCTTTGAGTGTCTTGATCAGGTAAAGGAGCTGTATAAGTCCAGTCCATTTACCATTTTTCTTTAGACTCGTTACACTGGTCAGTGTGAGTCTTCGCTGCTTGATAGACTTTTCTCTGCATCAGTCAGTTTAATTAACTTTGATCTGATTCTTAGAAGTTTTACTCTTGTGTGGAGGTAACCATCATGTAGCGTATGTGAGCGCATCTGAATGGAGATTGTGTCTGACGGCACCTTGATGCTGTTTCTGACGTGCAGGTTTTGTCGATCTTTCAGTTTCACACCTACACAAGCCAAGACACATACTGACATCATACCCCTTCTGGTTTCAGAAGCAGCACCCACTCTATTCTGTCACTGAGGTGTCATCCTCCACTCTCTCCTTCTTATTTACTTGTTAAACAAAAGGAAACTGAGCAGAACAAGGTGACTGATGATCACTCTGCCATCTGCAGAAGATGAACTGATTTCATCACCAGATCGATGGCAACACAACACTACCTGGATCTGAGTGATTGGGACATGAAATTTACCAAACGGTGATTAGGAGCTCCACACAGCCTGTAGCTGTCAGGCTGACGCATGAATCACTGCGGAGGAGTTGAACCAAAATTACACTTCAGAGTGGTGAATATCTCATCACGTGTTTGTGTGTAGGTGAGATAACTGTCAGACACCAGGACTGTTGTTGCTGCTCTCAGGCCCGTGTGTGGACCAGAACATCAAGACCATGATTCAGTTCAGCTCCGTAAGGGCTGGAGTGTGGCTTTCAACGGGAAGAAGGAACGAGGAAACGCCAACTTTAATTAACGTATGGATGTACAGGACCTTTCTGTTTGGGTCTAGTTTCCTGTAAATGAAAACAGAATGCACATTTAAATACGACTTGCCTCATCATGTTATGACCGTCCTTATTCATAGGAACAAATCAAACACAAGAAACATCACACACACACACACACACACACACACTCTCTCTCTGAACCGGCCTGTAGCTGTTTTCAAACTGCGGTGGAATGGACGGGTGTGAACACGGTCTTTCTTTTGGGCTGAAACATTGTTAAATTAATTTGTGTTTCTTTAAACAGCTGTTTAAATGATTTTTCTTTTAGAAGAGTCTGAAACATAAGAGCCTGTTTTACATTTCAGATCCATTCAGATTCTGTTTTCTTTGTAGGAAAGTCCAAGCAGAGCTCGTTGTCGTTGGAGAACCAGCACAGCTACCTGTGGTACCAAAACGCCTCTGACAGCGACAAGAAACCTTTGGCTCAGACCACCACCCTGAAGACCGGCTCCAAGGCAGAATCCACCTATGACTCCTGGGACGCCATCATGGGACTGCGCCCACCATCACCCACCCAGGAACCTCGTGGGCCGTCTTCTTCACTTGCCTGGGGCTCATCTGATCTTGACCTGGTGCAGACTCGGCTCGAGAAGCCCCGCTCTCCTCCGCTGCTCCATGATTCCAGAGATGACGCCCTGATGATGGAGTCCGACCTCATCGAGACGACCAGTTTCTCCCAGACCTCCACCTCGTTATCACATGACAGGAACTCAAACTGTCGGACTTACAGGAGACCCAACAAACAGGGCTCTGGCAAAACTTCGGACTCAAACAGTTTTACCAGCATCGCTTTTGGCACAGATCTTTCCAAGTCCTCAACAGACACTAACAATACCAAAACAACCAGTGGAGGAGGGAGTCGGGGCCGGACGAGGGACTACACGGTGCTGCAGCCCTCCTCCATGTCAATGTTCAACGTAACCATCCAGGGCCGGGCCACGGAGGAGTTTGGTTCTGAGACAGCGCCCACTAGTGGGGCTGGTGGTACCGCTTCAGGCAGCACGACACAGCTGGGAGATGTGGGGTGGCAACGGAAGAAGACCGAAGCACAAAATACGAGGTAAGGAGGCGACGAGGAGGATTGTTTGTGCTGTAGACCTCTGGAGGACTCGCTCCTTTCAGATCATCACTGCTCTGATCCTGAGCTGTGTCAGCGTTTACAGCAGACGCTTTTTAAACCAGTTGTTTCGTGTCAGTGGATTCTTGGCCGTGCACAGTATTTTGTTGCCCATGTCGTACCCACCTCAAACCTTTTCATGCCCATCTTGGCAGCCAGTTGGTTTTAATCTTCTGGAGCGCTCTTTACAAATGATGGTAGACAGATGTGAGCCAGCTGTTCAGTAGTCTGGGTCTGTAGCCTGGATGGTTTCAGTCAGAACCGAGCGCCCTGAGTGGGTCTGGAAACTAAACCGAGACCAAGATGCCTGTGACGGTGTTGAGAGAACATGTCGCACAAAACTTCTGAACATGTTCAGCAAGACGACCGCGAGGCTCGTCCCCCACAGTGTCCAGTGGCCAACATGTTAGCAAAATATCTCCTTAACCACTGAATGGGTTGTAATGAAACTGAAAAGTAATGCTCAGCTGTGTGTGGACCACGGGTTACGTTTAGAGGCAGCTTGTTTTAAGATGGCCGCCACAGCTAATCAGCAGTCAGTTTTCCACGTGTTGAGGGAAAGCTTGGTGTGGTGGTGGCTGAGAGTCGTCTGTAACACGCGTGCTGACAGGTGAGGTTTTCATTAGTCCCTGCATGAACAACCTGTGATCTGTTCTGGGTTCAGTTTCAGGCCGACCCAGTCCAAGTCGAAGAGGGACGCTAAAAACGACCTGTTCGGCTTCGACGACACCACCTTTCACCAGGAGGAGAACAGCGCCGACTGCTCCGACGGCAGGTCCACGTACAAGATCCAGTACTTTGGGTTTGATGACATGAGCGACAGCGACGGCGCTGAGGATGACTGCGGCTCTAAAGAAAGGAGGAAGGCCAAGATGGCTGCGCTCTCCAACGTAACCCCCTCAGGTACGGCAGAGGAGCCACCCGATGACGACACACCGGATCCGTTCGAGAGGCTGGAGAGTCGAGAGAGTCCGGAGGGTTGGGAGAGTCTGGACCGACCCGCAGCCAAGGAGAGGAAGAAGAACTGTGAGAGGCCGGAGAGCAGCAGACGAGCAGGTTAACATGCACACGCACACAGTCAGACCTTCGTCAGTGTAAGTGAGGAAGACTTCAGGTGTTCTTTAATGACATCAGACTATGAGCAGCAGGAACATCCTGCAGGCGGGCTCCGCTCTGCCACCGTTCTTCACCGAGGTCACTTCTTTATTAAACCACCGCTCAAGATCCTGGTCAGGCTGCAGGGCTTCTGCTGCTCGCCAGCCTTCAACCCACCAGAGCTTCTTGTTCACTCCCAAAATACAAACGGGTCAAAGCACGTCACAAACAGGACGTTCTCAACACGAAATGATTTTCTAAACTTTAAATATTCTGAATGACACGTAGTTTGTTGAGATTTGATGATTCATCACCCGGCAAGCTAGTTTAGTTTACAACGGTGATATTGGATGGAAGACTGGATTTGTGATGGTCTGGAGTGATGTCATCAGGGTTTTCAGACAAATATCTTAAAAAGCAAGCTTCACAAACATTATATGAAGGGATTTCCCAGCACTACAGCGGCTGACAGAGAAAACTGAGTTTATTCCACAGGAAATGCTTCAGAGATTGATGTTTTAAGACGAAGGATTATTTCTGAAGACGAACCTGTTGAAACGTTGTTGGACTGAACTTTTTACACTAATCTGTTACAGAAAATAAAAATGTTTTCCTTTGAGTTGCTTCCTGGGCTCAGCTCGGGTCTCATGGTAGTATTTATACTCATTGTTCTTGTTTCATTAAATTTCCCTTTAGATTATTTAAAACATGTTTTAGTTTCTTTCAGCAGTTTCCATCTTTTAACGTTGAATTCTTCTTATTTGTTGCTCCGAGTCTCAGACAATCTTCCAGACACTCGTTCTACAGCTACAAAAAGACAAAATGCTCCGAGATGCAACAGATAAACCTGAACATAAGGATTTAAATAGTTTCCTCTTGTGCTGCTTGGACTTAGAAGTGTAAACTTGCAGTGATACGGCTGTATTTTAACATGGCTTCAGTCTTCCATGACGTTTGTTTCTGCTGTCAGCTTCATTTACTTCAGTTTATATATAAACTTTATACTAACGCTTAATATTGTTGCTCTGTGAAACGTTTAAATGACCTTTTTTCTGTTTCTCCAGACGTCCTGGACTTCTCCGAGGACGGTCTCAAAGTGCTGGCCTGCGGTCCCAGGAGGCTGCCTCAGAGCAAACCTGCCGAGAAGAACCCAGACACCTTGAGGAGGATCTTCAGTGCCCATAAGAAGGTCAGCCGAGTCACGGTGGCCCACAAACATCCTGTGTCTGCTGATGTGCTTTGAAAGGAACAGAAATCACCAAAATAAAAGCTTTACTGCTATATGAGCCTCAAGGCTTCGGAGCATGACATTGTAAATGTGTTTAAAGACAAAAAACAAAGCGTGTCTCCTCCTTCAGACAGATGTGTTCAAAACTATTGTTCAAGCACAGAAACAGCTGTCAAGATTGAACTTGTAGATGAAGTAATCCACTGGACTCTAACAGCAAACATAATCTGGAAATATAAAGTTAAGACTGGAAAACGTTTGAGTGTCGTCTTCCACTTTACACAGCATGTAAATAAATCCATAAAACATCTGTTTTTGATCCAGGGAGGTGAGCGGCAGCTACAGCTGCTCTCATCCCACCAGTTAAAGTTCAGACATGTTGACACGTTGTGCATCGTGGATTCAGTTCAGTTTATTTCTAAAGCTCCAAGTCACAACAGAATCGTCTCAGGGACTGAACAGAAACATTCAAATATAAAATAATATTTTAACATTATTTATCTGAGGAGCAGGCTGCTTTGAATTTAACTCCATCACAGAACTCTCATCTTGTGATGTCACATGTGACGTGTCCTGATCAAAAATAACACCAAGATTTTTAACATTAGAGCTGGAGGACAGATTAATGCATCTAAGGAGGGAGAAAGACTGAAACATTCATTCCTAAGGTGCTCGGGTCCAAAAACCAAAACCTCAGTCTTGTCTGTTCAACAGGAGAAAATTAAGGGTCATCCAGGTTTTTATGTCTTTAAGACATGCTGGTAGTCTAAGTAGCTGATTGGATTCATTGGGTTTAATGTACAAATATAATTGTGTATCATCAGCATAACAATGAACATTTATCGCATGCTGTTTAATAACTTTACCTAATGGAAGCATATATAAAGTAAAGGGTATTGGTCCAAGCACTGAACCCTGAGGAACTCCATGACTAACTTTGGTGTATGAAGATTTATTATTTACATTTACAAACTGGAATCTATCAGATAGATATGATTTCAACCATTTTAGAGCTGTTCCTGTAATCCCAACATCATATTCAAGCCTCTGTAGTGGGAGCTGCTCCAGTACCATCAGTGAAAAACGTCTAGATGGAAACCAGATCCAACACTCGAGATCTAATCAGATTATACAATACAATACAATGTAGAATCAGGTCTCTCTTGTAAATTAGTCCTCGAGGCTCAATGGGATTTACCTGTTTAAATAAAGGTTGAATGAAAAAAAACAAAACATTTGGCTCCTCGGCCATCCATCATTCAGCCATTCATCATCTTTACCCACTTCGTCCTTCGTCCTGTGTGAGAGGCAGGGACACCTGGACACGTCTCCAGTCCATCACAGGAACAACTGGACACGTCTCCAGTCCATCACAGGGACACCTGGAGACAAACGAGACAAGCAACCATTCACTCTCTCTCTCACCTAGGGACAATTTAGAGTTACCAGTCAGACTAACATTTATGTTTTTGTTCTGTGGGAGGAACCTGGAGAAAACCCACGCATCACGGAGAGAACATGCAGACTCCCCCAGAAAGGCTCCCGGCAATGTTCCCTCTAAGCTGCACAGTCATGCACTGCCCGCACATTCTCTGCACACAAGAAAATCTATGC